CCATGCCAATCTCTATTAAATCCCTGAACCAGATTAAAAACATACTCATCAAAGAGAGACTCAACAACATCAAAGAGCTCCAGGCTGAACAAGTCCAGAAAAACATTACGAATAACTTTATCAAATTTTGGAAAAGACCAAAGAGCTTCATCAAAAAGGCACTAGGCAATCTCAAGCCCTCACTAGATTTCAACTTTATACAAGATGACCAAGGCATACTCACGAATGACCCAAAAGAAATAAAAAGTATCATTACCAACCACTTTAAAAAAGTCCTGATAAGTAACAACTTCAACCTGTCAGATCTATTCTGGTCTGACAAGTATGATCCCATCAGCACAATTGAAGAAAGCACATACAATAGCACCCTGACTCCAATAAGCCTTGCTGAATTCGAAGACACTTTACAAGAACTGCCCCCAGACAAGACCCCAGGATGCTCAGGTATCACATACGAGATGATTAACTCCTTGGACATGCCTCAAAACAAACACTCCTCCAGTTATACAACAAGGTAATCAACGATGAAAACATCCCACAGAACTGGAAAAAGTCAACAATTGTACTTCTACCCAAAAAAATCATTTGGTCACGAAGAGTCTCAGATACCCGCCCAATATCTCTGATCGAGTCAACAAGAAAAGTTTTCACAAAAATAATTAATACCAGACTATCAAAAATCATATATAAGAATGACATTCTGTCAGAAGCCAGCTTTGCAGGACTACCCAACCAAAGCACAATGGAACCACTAACCATTGCGGCCTCAAGCTTGAACACAGCAAAAAATCTGAACAGCGAACTATGGATAGCCTCCTTTGACATTGCGAAGGTGTTCGATTCAGTCAATCTTAACAGTCTCAAAGCTGCTCTAAAGAGAATCAAAATTCCAAGCAAGCTTATTAGCATTTTTCACAACCTATTAAGTAAACGAGAACTCGCAGTAGCAACAAACTTTGGCAGCACAAGCAACATAGAGGTGTCAAAAGGCCTAGACCAAGGAGAGACACTTTCACCACTCTTATGGACAATTTTCTACAATCCAATGGTAACAACAATTCATAACTATGCCAAGCAACCGCTAACTCCATATAGTATTCTTACTTATATGGATGACGTGCTTCTCTCAGCAAACTCTCTGAACAATCTTCAAGACACTACAGATATCTTCTGCTCCTTTCTCACGCTTAATAACATAAAATGCAATACAGACAAGACAATGCTTATCACCACCCTTGCAAACAACAACAGGGCAAGGAACACAGGCTTAAGAGTCACAGATACAGTAGTGAAACCACTTAGCGCCAAAACCCCTCTTTGATACCTTGGCAATTTCTTTGCTGGAGATCCAGCCAGAGGAATACCAAACCAGACTTGCATCAAGGATCTGAACCAGATCGTAAAAGCTTGCCACAAACAGAAATGGAATGGACCGATAATGAAACAAGTGTTGGACTGGATTATTCCTAGCAAACTCAATTACTCCCTCTTAACAATCTCTCTCCCTAGGCCGCAATTACAAAAGCTTCAAACCAGAGTTAATAACATGATCAAAGAAAAATTCAAGATAGGAAAAACAATATCAGACAAAATCACTTACTCGCAAGCCGGACTCAATCTGGTAAACCTAGCAGACAACCAAAATTTGACTCTAATAAAACTTCTCATTGCCAAGCTCACCAACACAAAAACCCAAGAAGCTATATCACTTGAGATAAACTCCTTGCAAGCCAGTCTTGCTATTTGGCTCTGCCCGATGTGCCACCCTGAGAAATTTCCAGAAACATCGATCACACAGGCAGCAGCAGTCTCAAAAATGTATAGAATTAACATTTGTCCCACCCCATGCCAGTACAACCACCCCAAAGGAGAACAATCAATCGACCTTCACTTCTCATTTAATAGCAAATATCTAAAATGTCAGGCATTAGGACTGAACAGAGGAAATATCAAGTTCTTAGAAGATCTAATCAGTTTCCAATCAAGCAAAAAGCTAACATGGCATGAGCTTAATACACATTTTCGCCCCACACCCAAAGGACCGGTACCTATTTGGTTTAGCAAAATCAATCCCCCGCAGACCCTTAAAGGAACCTCGTCCTGCATCCCAAATATGAGAGCCAGATTCTGGGCCTTTATCACTAACAATGAGCTGAACTTTATCAAAACAAGAATCAATCGTGACCATACCCAACCTCAAATAAAAGGAACCCATTACAGACTAACAACGAACAAGACTCTTAAAAAATGCCAATGCCACGTCAATAGCCTCCAAATAGCCATTCCAACAATCAAAGCAATGTCCCTTTGGACATACAAGACAAACAATGAACACCGCCTAGCCAATGCACTAGAGAAAATTTGGCTTCAACTTCAGTATAACGCCATATCAGACAACAATCCAAGAGTAGAGATCAGTTATCATGAGTGCAGAGACCTACCAGCATTACTTAACACTAATACCATAGAGGACCTCAAGCAGGTCATCAACTTTAACAGACTATTCCTATACTTCAATGTCGAGAGCAAAGGAGAATTAATTACCATACAAGGACACGACACCAATATAGCTCTTTATTCAACAAACCCACAGCCAATTAGCATTCTATTAGGAATAATAGGGCTAGTGGAGGCAGCAAATGACCAGACATACATAGCAATGAATCTTCCAAAGAAACTAAATCTGCATACTCCAAGTTACTCGAATCAAAGAGTCAAATTTTCATATAGTTTTCTAAAGGAAAGAATCAATAGCACATGCAAACGCAAGAATATCAAATTGAGACTAGAGTCAAGCCCGATTATTTCAAGCCATCAAGACAGCGACACAATCATAGGAATCGACAACCTAGTGGAGCCAGAAAGCCATATCTCCAGCCCAAAAATCAAGAACAATTAGAGCTTCAGTCTAGTGGCTTGGTCCAAAATAATCCAGAGGACACACAGACTCGCCGATATTACCCAGAGCTCGTCAATTAAAAACAGATGGAAAGGCAGCATGAAAACAACAGTACTTTAAATTCTGACCATGGCAAACAAGTTGCTAACCAATAAAGATAAAGTGAACACCTCTTCACTATTAGCCTTCAGACTCAAACTGTTGAGCGGAACATTACCATCTAGACAACTACTACACGACCGTTACCCGAGCACTTATACTGATAGCCTCTGCCCTAGATGCCTAACAGCAGTGGAGACTCAGAGTCACATCTTTGATTGCTACAAAAACATCGCAGCGTACAGCATAATGGAAAACAAAATAAGAACAAGTCTGATAAAGCTCATAAGAAAAAATAGTAATAGGAAGAACCTAACAGAAATCGAAAGAAATCTGCAAAAATTAGACTTTGGCCGAAAATCTAACCTGGACAAACTTGCTAGCGGAATGCTAAACATAGACATACAACTATCTATCGCCAGCCATGCCAAGATGGCAAACAAAATACTAGCCTTATTATACTCACAGATATGGATTCCAAGATCAGTAACTGCTAACACATCTGAAGTAAAGGGAGTCAAATGGAAAAGGGACTCCTCCCCAACTGAAAGCCCAACAGTACTCACACACCAAAAGCTATCTCAGAGGATAAAAATTTACTTGAGCTAATAATGGAAGTTACAGACTCGCAGGCAAACCATACCAGCAGCGTCACCAAATCACAAGTCTTTATCTCAGCTCTGGAAGAGCATTAACCATTCAGCAGTAAAACTAATCCGAAGTACACTATGTGTAATCAGGGTAGGGATAGTTAGCATCATAGATAGATTAACATTAATTTATAAACTCGATTTTGTAAAGATGTTAGATGTAATCTGGATATGTCTATATATATTAATAAAGTTTTGCATCTGATGCCCTTTTACAATGTAAAAAAAAAAAATAATAATAATAATTGTGAAAGTATATAAAAAAGTGTGAAATGTTAAATTAATAAAGGATTAAGTGTTAGAAGTGAAATGAACTTGATCAAATTGAATACCTCAAATCACCTATCTGTTTGTCTCTAACTACCAATAATGGTTATACAAAACTTTGTTAGCATTAGCAACAGACTTGCTGTTTACCTGTCACAATATCAATAATTATATATTATGACCTACAAACCTGTATATTTTATTACGAGTTTGATAGATTGATTACAAAACTCAAGTTATTCAAGTAAATGATATACCCATAACCTGAGGCTAATTTCTAATTACTTAAAGTATAACTGATTTTCATTATTATCTATATATATAAGATAAGTAGTGAAAAAACTATCATATAAATACTATCGACTACACTATCATGTATACTATCAGCTATATCATCAAGTATGTTATAGATATGCACGTTAACAGAGTATACTATTAAATATGTATTGCATAATTGCTATCGAGTATACTACATTCTATACTATCAAACATGAATATGACATATATACTCATCTATTACAAAGTATGTCAATGCTATTAAATTGGGTTTGCTTATGTTTAGTTATTTCCTAGTTGCGTTTTATAATATATACAATATAAATGTTATTGAGAAATATTATCAAATGATTTCAATTATGTTTAAAGACACCTTATGTCAATATACTGTATATCAAATTATCTTGATCTTGGTTTGCCCTAACTTGATCCTATTTAATAAATATGTCTGCCTTTTCCAGAACATAATTCTTTACCAATTGAGACTAGAAGCTTATGATGTTTTTTTTTGAATGATAAGTAAATATGTTGCTTACCAACACTTCATTTAATTCATCATTATTGTTGAAATGTTTTTTAAATTCTAAAGAGCTAAGCTTCTTAGACTTCAACAAATCATTGATAATACTCTTTCCTACTTTGTAGTATAGATCATTTGGAAGGAGTTGTGCAGATTGGAATTTCTTTTCAACTTTGACTAAGACTTGCCATTTAATGACTGAAGATGAAAGAGTCAGTAATTAGAGTTATTGTATGTAAATTCATGTGATGAAAAAATAATGAAACCGATTCCTACTTTCAAAGAATTGTTAAGCCACAAAATCATCTGCCACAGTCTGCAACTCTACAATATAACTGCCAACTAATTCATATAAACTTTTAGCTTCTACTTCATTGATCTTGTGTTTCTTGGTCAGGTATTCCATTGATTCTTCTTTACTAAGATCACCAATTTCTATCACCAGTTGTTTCGCATGTGACCAGGCACTACGTACTAAAAATAAGGATCATAATATGTAAATAATACCAATTTTTGAGAGCACAAAATAATTATATTCCATTTTTCTAGGCATCAAACTTTTATTACTGACAAACATGGTGACATATTTTCTACTATCAGCATTCTTTTTAGTATCATCTTGAAGAATATCAAGAATTTTTGGGTTCTCATTAATCATTTTGTTAATGTTGTCATAAACAATGACCAGTGGTTTGCTGTGCTTCGATTTATACACTTCAGCAGCATGCTTAAAGGCTCTAAGAACTCTCTTTCACTTTGAATCAAATTCATCTAGAAATTAGAATCAAAAAGGTGAATTATTGATAAAGTAATGATAATAAACTTAACAATAATAAAAAACTCACCCTTGGTATCACCAAAAAATTTTCGTTTTAGTTGTAATGTTAATATTGCATCTTCATCAAATATAAGGTTAAGAGCTTTTCCAAATGAATTATCAAACTCTTCAATGTTGACAGGGGTATCAACATATATGATGCCTTTCCTAATTTCTCTTGCAACTTTTATAATCAACATTGTCTTTCCGGTTCTGTGTTCATCATAAACAACATGGTAATATGAATGATCTTTATCCAGCTGAAAATTTTTTTGAGGCGTTCTATAATTTTAGGTCATGGAATAAATTTATTCTCTGATATTTTATCCAGTGGTCGAGTATCTTTTTCCATGGATTTGTTAACACATTGCTCATTAGTCTTGTTTACCCATCAAAGATAAGTAAGATCTCCTGTTATAAAGACTACACCACTCCTCTATAAAAGTTCCCATAATTCACTCGTTCGCTGTTTCCAGTTAATAAAACATAAATTGATTTGTGCTGGATCCCTTTTTTTTTTCAGGTGGAGGAAGCAGATTCATTAGAAGTAGAATTTGCATAAGGTTTGAAAGAAACATATGAGGTTTTGAATTTCTTAACACAATTTTTTATGGTTGAAGAAACAAGATGTGTAACAAGGCGAGCTGATAAACGCCTCTATAAAAATAATATATACAAGTAAAAAATTTTTATTGATCACACAATACATTATGCGATTTGGCAATAAAAAATCAGTCTTTCTTACATGATAGGAAATTCTCTTCGAACTGAACCAAAGCATTTCTGTAACAATAATAAATTTTACATTATATATTCTAGTAGAGATTTTTTCCAAAAACAAAGTATGGGAGGTGTTCTCTTTATCTTACTTATGCGACCTATATCATTTGTTCGCTGATGCATTATTTATGCCATAGATTTAAATGGATGAGTATTTTGAAAATTAAAAATCAAAAGTTTTTATTTTAAAATAACACATAAGAGTATATTCAAAATAATGTACAGATCAATTAAATAATACACAAATCAATTAAATAATATATAGACAAACATTATTTTGCACTTATACAATATGCTTTAAAAACTTTACTACAAATTTATCTGTATGGGTGATGCATTAGTAATGCACAAATGATATGAAAATTACATAAGTGAAGTAAGAAGAACATATTTTATATTTTTATTTTCGAAAAAAATAATCTGAAAATGTAATATATAATTATAGTAGTTATTCAAAAAAATCTGTCATATACATATTTTTTTGTGGAAAATAGCCTTTTTAGAAAGCTTTTCTTTTCAAAAAACTATATAATAAAATATGTTTCTTTGGAAAGGAATTATAAACCAAATGCACGACTCTTTCCGCTGATCCTTTTGCCAATCCAAAAAACAGACGTTCTCAAAAAACTTTTTGTTTTTATGATAATAAAGTCTATACAC